AGAGCAGCCAGGACCGCCGATGCAAACATGTGCCAACTGATCCAGAGCTATCTAACACAAAGACGGTTCGCGGTGAGGATTGGTACATGCCATTCAACACGACGACAGCTGGTAGCAGGCGTGCTCCAGGAGTCAGCCTCAGTCCCCCCTGCTCTACAACATCTATACTCATGACGTACCGAAGACAGCTCACACAATGCTGGCCCTATATGCAGATGACATTGCTATCGCCGCTAAGCATCGACGACCCGAGATTATCCGTAGCAGACTACAGGATGAACTGGACTGTTGCGTGAAATGGAAAATCCGTATCAACGTCCAGAAGACGCAGGCAATCTTCATCCAACGAAGAAGGATTGCAAGCCCTCTCGAAGCATCCATCATCGACGAAGATATCCAGTGGAGCGACAAGGTCAAATATCTGGGGATCGTATTTGACAAGTCCCTCACCTGGAAAGACCACACATAGAAGCTGTCATCGCAAAGACCAGAGCAGCCATGGCTCAACTCTACCCAATACTGGGTAGACACAGCCGGATGCCGCTAGCGACCAAGCTACGGCTGATCAAGGCCATCGCCAGACCTCAGCTCGCTTACGCCTCCGCGGTCTGGGGGTACGCTGCTCTAGAGATGAAGCTACTCCGGATCGCCACCAACCGATCCATCCTACGTAAGAAACTCAACCTTGCGTAGAGACCTGCATTGGGACACCATTCACGAGTACATGAGGAAAAAAGCGGAGAAGACCTTCCAGAAAGCTCAGGACCACCCTAACGAGCAGCTACGATTCCTCATGAACTACGATCCGGACGAGAGGCATCGCAACCGCAGAACCAGGTACCCTAGACCAAGGTCCCAGTTGGCACCCGCTAGTTGGAACCTTGACTAGGAGACTAGGAGAACCCGCGGTTGCTGCAACATCAAAAGTATCTGAAAACCGTCCTGTAGCCGCGACATCCCCGACTGGTACTAGAACAACCCGACGACAGAACTGGGTGGTCGGGGTCAGTGTGTCAGGTCGGTATGCA